CGATGATGCCGCGGCGCTCCTCCAGGCGGGCCGTCTCGTCCCGGGCTGCATTGGCTGACAGCAAGCTGGTCTAGGCCCAGAGAAGGGGTGGTGAGCTAGGGCCTCAGGTGGGTGAGGGACCCTCCCCCTACTGGTCAGCAGGTCGGCCACCCACCTCGGGCCCCAGCATGGCAGCAGGGTCGGTGATGGTCAGCATGACCTCATTGACCAGCTCCATGGGGATGTCACCCATCACACGGAGCCGCTTGGCATCCTCCAGGGTCAGGTTCTCTGGGAGCTTCCTCTTCTCACCTGTTGGGGAGGTTGGCAAGGTTGCCCAGGGACAGCAAGAAAGGGTGGGAGAGGGGTGAACGACAGTCAGAAGTCAGGGGTCAAGCACCCACCTGGCATGGGCTCGGCCCCTGCAGAATCCAGACTCAGTGAGCTGTTGCTGCCGCCACCCATGGTGGGGCTGAAGATGGGGGTGCTGGGAACAACCGCTGCACTGACCGTAGCTGAGAAGGAGAAGTCAGGGACAGGGAGGTCGAAGCTGTTGGCAGGTCCCTTAACAGGATCCAGGCCCTCTGACCCAGCTGAGCCGTCCTGCATTTTCCCACTGTTGCCATTCCAAGCCCATCTCCTACCCAGGCTGCCTAGCTCAGTCAGGAAGGGCAAGCAGAGATCCCACAGAGCCCACAGTGGCACATACCTGGCCGGGGCACCAGCTGTGTCCCCTCTGAGGGTGGCATGGTGAAGCCTGACTCCCAGATTGGAGAGTTTGCCCCGTAGATCTCCTCCTCTAGCATGGACAGAAATCTGTAGGGAGGGTACAATCTGTCCCACAACTCTGTCTACCAACCAAGGGTGCAGGCTGGGCCAGGCACCAGAGGGACTGCAGGCTGGTCAGAGACAGACCCTGCTCTTAGGGAACTGGGAGACTGAAAGAGGAGGCAGCGTCTGCCCTCCGGGAAGCCCTAGTCTGAAGGGGGAGGCACAGGCCCTGGCCTTCTGGGGTCCCCGAACTAAAGGCAGATCTCCAGATGGAGACCACAGAGGCCCAGTTGTGCCAGGCTGCCTGGCACAGGGGGACAGCTCTGAGCTGATGCCCTCCTGTGCTGTGTGGCCAGGCAGGGCAACACATCACCTTAAGTCCCCTCACTCCCCTCTGCATCAAAACAGGCTCAGAATCCACCCCATCTTGCTACCTCTTGTTCCCACCTAGTGACAGGAGGCACTAGACGGCCAGGATTAGTCAGTAAAGGCTTTTTGAACAGCAAAGTTATGACCCAGATTGAAAATGGGAGAAAGGTGTGGCAGAACAGAGGAAAATTGTACAGAAAAGACTAGAAGAAGAGTGGAAACTGATTTCACCTCAAGTGTAAGCTCTGGTTCTTGGGCTACTATGGTGGGAAGGATTCTGAAGCTGTGTCCAGGCCCCCATGGGAAGCAATTAGTACCGTCTGCCAGGGGCATGGGAGGGGGTAGCGTTAGCTCGGGCCATGTACCTGCCATCCCCAGACTAGTACGTGCAAAGGCAAATACTAGCAAGTTGCTTCTGGGCCATGGGCAAGTCTGCCAGGTAGACGCCCAGATCCCAGAAGGCCCATGGAGGGAGAGGAGGGACCAATCCAGGAAGCCTTCCTGGAAAAAAGGGGACAACAGCGAGGATGTGAACTTGGGGCAAAATCCCAACAGGCCAGAATGAGCCTTACTTGGGGAAATGAGTGAGGATGAGGGTCCTCTTCTCGGGCACCAGCTTGTCCTTTTCCACACGGAACTTTTCCAGCAGCTGCCGGCGGGTAACGGTGAAGATGGACCGGAGAAGGCTTCGCCCAAAGACGTGAGTGGTTTCGTAGCGGGGGAGGCTGTCACAGCTCTGGGGCACGTGGCAGTAACAGAGCCATCTGGCGTGGGGGAGTGGGGGCAGTGGCAGGTGAGGGTGGAAACCACTGCACCCAGGCTGGGCCTACAATCCTCCTCCCAACCTGCCCGCAGTTGGTCCTACCTGGTGTAATTGACCTTGTAGGTAGCCACATCCTCAGCCTGAGACCTCTGCCGAAATTGGGCAGGCGTCTCAAGCTTCCAGTAGTTAAGGCAGAGCAGGAACATCTTCGAGAGCTCGAACATCGTCTGCCGCTCCCGGGGAGCCAGGTGACTAAACTTGTACTGCACAAAGTTCAGCACACCCTGAGAAGGGGTGAGTAGGGGACAGAACGAGCAACGAGGTGTGAGCAGCCAGCAGGGGCTTCTTATCCAAGGAAGCTGCTACCCAAGGGCAGGGACAGGGCTCTCCTCTCACTCTGGGGCTCTCTGTGAGGGGAGCTACGCCCTCTCCCTACCCCCACACCTACCCTGAGGTTAGCACTAAACATCCTCCCTTCTCTGAGTGTCTCCCCTGTTCTCGGCTTGAGGGGGATGGCGAACACAGGCTCTCCCCTCCTCCAAGATGCTCTCAATTCCCCTCTTACCACTTTCCCCAGCCCACCTGCTCAATATTAGGCTTCTCAAATGGGGGGCTACCCAGGGACCCCTCCACCACCGGCCGGGTCATCTGCAGGATGCATTTCCGCAGGAGCTGGAGGGGAGAGCAAGGGGGAGTAGGGGGCAGCAGGGCTCAGGGCTGCAGACCCCTCAACACCTCACCTCCTTTACTCACACTCTCCTTCGGTGCAAACTCACCTTGAAGAGGTAGAAATAGACCTGCTTGGTATCTGTGTCCTCCTCCTTGTGAACAGACATAAACAAATTCTCCACGTCCACCACCATCCCTAGCAGCCGGTTAATCTCATCCTCTGACACATTCTCTAAGTGGGATACATGGTCAGCTGCAAGACAGACAGGCGGTAGAGTTGGGAGAAATGGAGAGAGAGGATCAACAAGGCCCCTGCACCTCTTCACAGCCAGCCAAGATACATCCTCAGTCCCTCTGACCACTGTGACCAACAGTGAGACTGCCTGCTCCCACACCAGCCCTTGGGTGGCCCTCACCTCTTCTGGGCTGGCAGATTTCCTTTCTCCTTCTCTGGGGAATACACACCAACCCAATCCCTCCCTAGGAAGCATCTTTGGTTTTTCAGAGATGAGGCTTTGTGGCACTTAAGTCACCCTAAATAGAACCCAGCACCTGCTCTCTGCACCCCCAGCTCCAAGGGCGCTGCCTGCCTTACCCAAGGGGTGCTCACAGCTGCGGCACAGCTCACTCAGGTTGGCAGCTGGCTGCTGCAGATCCATGCGGGGTGCGGTAGGGGGCTTGGGGTTTTTCCAGCCATTACACTTACAGGTTTCATTGGTCTGGAGGCAGAAGGATCAGTGAGTGATCTGTATCCCTGGGGCAGGAGCCGCTCCTCAGCCAGAGGTTTGCCCCGCTTCCCACCCAAGCGGTAGGATGCCCCAAGCCCCGCCCCTTTCACCCCAGACCCCGCCCCCACCTTGCAAGCCGAGAAGACCCCTAGCTTCTCAAGCTTCTTGGCGCGCGGCAGACCCCGGACTTGCGCCTTCCTCTGGCTTGCGCGCTGCTGCTGGCTCAGGCCAGGTCGAGCCGGATCCCCCCCGCTCCCGGTCCCCCCACTTCCTACCCCGGGCGCCCCAGTCCCTGTGCTCCCGGCTGGGGCTCCGGCTGGGGCAGGAACTGGAGCCGGAGTGGGGGCTGGAGTCGGGGCTGAAGCCGGGCTGGGCGCAGGAGTCGGAGTTGGGGCAGGGGCTGGGGACTGGAGGGGCCGGGGCTGCGCGGCCGGGGTCGGGGCCTGGGAAGGTTCCGCCATGGCCTCCCCCGCAGCGGAGCGCGACGCCGCGCTCCCAGCCCTAGGGCCGCATGGGCAACCGTCGCTCAGGGCGCAGGCGTCGCTGCGCCGGCGCATGACGGGAGTTGTAGTCTCCCGCCGCCGCGCCCCTCTGTCGTCAGCTTCCAGACTTTTCTCTTCTGTCTCTTGGTCCCAGACAGCCACGTGAGGTCAGAGCGAGCCCCTCAGATTGACCCTTCCCCACTTCTAATCTCGAAGGCGTCCGGGGTAGTCACGATTGCTGTCCTCTTGGGTACACGGAAGCGCATCTTGAGGGCACCGAGGGCTCTGCCCCTCTCAGAAGCCCCCAAAGGGAAATGCGGGCGGGCGTGGGGTCAGCTTCCTGGCGCTCCTCTCTCCAACCCTCATCCGCATCCCAGGCCCTGCCTCACGAGCTCCGGACGCAGAATTGCAGCTACGGGAGAGATGAGATGTAACCACACTTGTTGAGCTGTGTGGTGGTTACAGGGGTGTGTTTGCTTTGTGACATTCAACTGCACCCTTTCGTGTGCACTTTTCTGTGTATAGATATATATGTTACACTTCAACAAAAAGAGTTTATTATCAAAACACTGAGCACCAGAGGTGTAGCCCTACGAAGAAGGCCACTGAGGTGGAGGGTGAGGCCGAGGAGAGCCGAGCCTTTTCTGCGTGCTGGGCGCGGCCCTCCGTGTGCCCTCGAGCCCCCAGCCTGCTGCACAGGAGGGCCCAGGGGCGGAGGAAGTAAAGAAGCCGGAGAGACCCCAGTCCCTGGGGTTGGGCACAGTCAAGGAAAGGCAGGGCGTTCCAAGAGTGGATGGCCGGGAAGGTCGCTCTCCCTTGGCTCTGTCCAGGGAACAATCCTTCTTGCCCCAGGCCTGGTTTTTAGCGGGCAAGACACCCCCTTCCAGCCCGGGGCTCAGTCTGATGTGGGCTCTGCCTGGGTGACCGACTGCTCTGGGATCCGGCTCCCGCGTCTAGCCTCATCCAGTCGATCCGGTTCCGTCACAGCTTCGGCGCCCGGGCCCACTGGCAGGTGGGGAAGGGCCGAGAAAGAGGCAGGCTCCGGGATAAAAGCAGCCGCGGCGCTGACAACCTGACCCTTGGAGGTAGGACGGGCATGGCTGAGCCCGGAACTCCCACCTCCGTTTGCAGAAGCCAAGGGAACCAAGGGGAGCCGGCGGGGACCGCGTGGGGACCCTCCTCGAGCTGAAATCCATGCTCTCGGAGCCTCGCGCCCCTGGACAGCAGTTGCTCACGCGGATGCAGCAGGTCGGTAACAGTTTCTCCACCGAGAACCGGGTGGCGTCCAGACGTCCCAGCGTGGCCGTCGCTGAACGGAACCAGGTGGCCACGCTGCCGGTGCGGCTGCTCCAGGACGATCCGGCAGCTGCGCAGGGCAACCACCATGCGGAAGACAGTTTTCAAGTGAAGATGGACGCCCACGGCTTCGCCGCCGAGGAGCTGGTGGTGAGGGTGGACGGCCAACGGCTGATGGTGACTGGCCAGCGGCAAATGGAGGCCAGCGACCCAGAAGGGGGCAGTTACCGCATGTCGCAGAAGGTGCGCCATCAAATGCGCCTCCCGCCGGACCTGGATCCCACCACCATGTCCTGCTGCCTCACCCCCTCGGGCCGGCTGTGGGTCAGAGGCCAGGGTGGGGTGCTGCCTCTCCCTGAAGCTGCAGCAGGACGGTCCTCCAGACTCCGGAGCCACGACTCAAAGGAGGGTTCCAAACTACCCTGACCCAGTAAATAACCCCTCCGCAGTGTGCAGCATCTTTAAAGTCCGTTGTCTTTTCTGGGGATGGGGTCAGAAGTAGAAGGACTGGAGCCACAGGGAGGGGGAGGCAGGAAAGGAACCTCAAGGTGATGGTCCACTGGGAATCAGGCCTTTGTGGCCCCGGGAGCAACTGCAGGGGACAGTGTGGCCCTAGCTGAGAGCAGCAGCTCCAGCAGGGAGCAGCAGAGAACTGGGAGGGCCCAGACCGCCGGACTCCAGAACCAGCAGAGGGCCCTGTGAGATCAAGAGGGATAGCTCAGACCTGGCCTGGGGGTGCTGCAACCCCACCGGTTTCCTTCTTCTTCAGGGAAGAGAGCAAGAGGATCCAGTCCTTCATAGGCGTGGTACAGACCAACCAAAAACTCCAAAGAGGTTGTTTGGAGGCGAACGGCCTTCAAGCACAGACTGCACATCACCCCAGTGTAATCCGGCTAGGGGGGAGGGGGGGTGGAGGAACAATTGCAAGACCCTCAACTTCAAACCTGCTCAGCCCAGGTCGGTCTGGCCCCACCCCCACCCCATTGGAGCTGCTAACAGTGAGGGCCTCTTTCTCTTGGTTACCATGACCACCAGCATCCCCTCACATTAGGGAGGGAAGCTTTTGTTTAAAAAGATCCAGTGGTTCATTTTAAATTAACTTCAAGGAAACTACAGAGGACATGGTCTGATAAAGACAGAGAAAGACAAGGAAGACAAGTGTGAGGTCGATTGATCGGCTGACTATATTGACAAGATACTGATTGGTTACATGTTGAAGAAAACATACAATACAAAATACAGAAAAAGTTGGTTCCATCCCCTCCCACTCCCCCCCTTCCCCACCCCACCCCCAATACTCATCATCGTGATTTGGTCAGAACAGGGCTCAGAGCCAGAGGTCAGGGTGACCGAGGGTGGAGGGATTGTGGGCAATGGGTTTGTGGCTGTCACAATAATGCTGTGGTGATGCTGTGGCTTTTCTCCCAGCTGGGAGTCATGGGCGGGGAGGGGACAGCAGCGTGGTGATGGCCAGCTGAGAGAAGAGCTGCCTATCCCTTCCCCAGCCCCCAGGCCTGCCCACTGCCCAAAACCAAGACCACTCCAAACTAGGTGAGGACGCCAGTGCTCCTGCTGAGTATGCCATTCAGCAAGAGGGAAAGGAAGGGTAACTGCTCCATCCCCTGCCCCCATATACAAGGGTGGGGGGAACAGGAGCACGTGGCTACTACCAGCAAAGGAAAAGTGGAGGAGCAGTAGAAAGGGGAGGAAGTGGGAAGAGCAGAAGATCATATATATTAAAAAAGTGACTTAAGACTTAAAATTGAATTAGTATTTGTACAGAAAGGTGCAGGTGGAATAACTCGCTCCGGCCTATGATCAAAATTATATGGAGAAATCATGGTGGACCCCTCCCTCTGCCCCCCAGTGGTGGCCCGAGTCGTTAAGTGCGATTGGTTAGAGTGGATTCCAGTCGGGTCATTCAGGCGGAGGAGGCGGGAGCAGTGGGCAGGCGAGGGGGTTCAGTTGCTGCAGCACTGGCTCCGGCTGGCTGGGTTGTTCTCCTGGAGATCCACTCCTCGGTTCCGGCCTGGAACACCAGCTGCATTCTGGGGCTCGTTCTTGGGAAGCTTCTTAGCTGTTTGGGAGAAGAGGGAAAAAATACACTTGTGGGGGTACCCCGATATTCTCTCCCAATTCCACTGGAGCAGAATCTGGCCTGTGCTACCCGATCAGTGATCACTAACATACTGAGGGCTTCTAATGCGCCAGGTACATTCTGAGTGTTCCAGGAAACTGAGGCAAAGAGAGGTTAAATAAATTGCCCAAGACCACAGAGCTCCTAAGTGGCAGAGCCAGAATTTGAATCTGGGCAGGATAACTCCAGAGCCAAGTGAGCTAAAACACTCCTAGGAAGTGGGTAAGGGATGTTGACGGTAGGCTCTGAAATGGGTGGCAAGCTAAAGGGTGAGAGTGAAATGTTGAGAGTTTGGCCCAAGCGTTAGGAACTGCTGGGGTGAACTACCCACCATCTGGGAGTCAGATGAAGAAAGCAGTTTTATCAGAATGTTGAAAATAGTGAAAGATCTACTGGTGAAGATACCCCACAGACCCACTACAGAACAGCAGACAGGTGACATGTCCTTGGTGGCGGTGGGGAGGGGAGGAGAGGCAACTTACCTATTGCCATGAAAATTTCATTCACATTCATTGCAGTCTTTGCTGATGTCTCCATGAACAGCAAACTGTTGTCGTCTGCATAGGCTTGTGCTTCCTGATTCGGATGGAGGTGAGAAAGAGGGTGGGAAGGCAAAGTTGACGGGGCAGGGCCCAGGAGAAAACCTTCCCTGTTCACAGTGCCTTATACACAACAGAGACCAGCTGGACGAACACAGGGGTTTTCAGACCTAAGGCTCCCCCACTCACACACAGTACCTCTCGGCTCACAAACACCAGCCAATGTCTTACTTAGGCTTCCCTAGGTCCACTCTGCCTTCTTGTTCTTCAAAATCACTAGATTGGGAAATACTTCTAGAAAAATTTCCTACAAGTACATTTGCACATTCGGACAAAAGTATGTGGATGTTTACTACAGCACTGTTTTCAGTTTTTTGCTATTACAAATAATCCAGAAGTTTAGCAATTAGGGACTGGTAAAAAATGGTAAAGAATTAAAATATGCAGTGCGTACACATACTCCCATCTATATAAAGATGGAGATTCATAAACATGTGCCTATTTCCGGAAAGCCAAAAAACTATGGGGTTTCTGCCAGGCTTAAAGGTGTCAAAAAAAAAAAGATAAACTATGGGGAACTTAGGGGTAGAGAGGCTGAATTTCTAGTTTAGGAGACTTAAATTTCATTGTATATACCTTCTTGTAGTATTTAAATTTTACTATGTGCATGTATTACATGAAAAAAATATTTGTTTTTCAGTAAGTTTAATGAAAAAGTCAGTTTATAAGAAAAAAATAAGCAGAAGCTTCGCTGTCCATGTACACACACATAGCCCCACTGCCGGGGAACCAGACAAGGGAGAGGCAGGTGACAGTCCTTTTAGACCCGTGCTTGAGTCATGAGAGGGCAGCAGATGGAAGTCCCCTGCTGCCTCCCAGCGTGGCCCAGGGAGCTGGGTGGAGCTGGCTTACTCCTTGCCCCAAGTCTGGCCATCTCCCCACCTGGAATTCCACAGCTCTCTTGGTGGCCAGGTCCGCCTTGTTACCCGCGAGCGCAATGACGATGTTGGGGCTGGCCTGCCGCTGTAACTCCTTCACCCAGTTCTTGGCCCGTGCAAATGTATCCTGAGGAGACAGGGCCAGAATGTCAAAGGGACAGAGGAGGCATTCTGCCCAGGGACACTCACTAGAGAAGCTCGAGCTGGCACAGCCAGAGTAAGACACTGTCACCCAAAGATTCTGGTGAGATGTCCCCAAATAACAGAGAAAACCTGCCCACACCCCACCCAGGAACAGAGGGTGGAGAGGCCTGAAATCAGGGCTTTGAGAACCCACGGCCAGGGGCTTCGAGAAGATCAGGGGCAGAGAGAGAAGGGAAGATCTTTACTGTGTTGGTGATGTCATAGACCACGATGGCAGCTTGGGCCCCCCGATAGTACATGGGGGCCAGGCTGTGATACCGCTCCTGTCCAGCTGTGTCCCAGATCTCAAACTTGACCGTTGTGTCGTCCAAGCAGACAGTCTGTGTGAGGAAGGCCGCTGGAAGAGAGAAGGCTGCGTCAGCAGGCAGGGACAAGCTAGAAGCCACCCCCACAAATTTCCACTATTGCTTCCAGGCTCTGGCACTTAGAAGCTTGCTGCTGAGATGGACACCGAAAAGCCCTCAACCCAGCAGTGTAGGCAGAGTTTGCATTTTTTTTTTTTTTTCCGTTTTTCTAAGAGATAGGGTCTCACTATGTAGCCCAGGTTGGTCTTGAACTCCCAGAAGCAATCCTCCTGCCTTAGCCTCCCTAGTAGCTGGGACTACAGGTGTGTGGCACCATGCCCAGCTTCTTTTTTTTTTGTTACAGGTAACTGAGTTAGAGTTTGTACTTTTATGTACATGTGTAGGGGACCGGGACTGCACAGGCCTTACAGCCCCACCCCAGGCAAGCCTGCTGCACTTGGGCCATGTCAGGAATACTCCCAGAAGAGGAATGCAGCAAGGGGCAGGAGGGGGAAAGCCCAGGGGAAACCGGACTCCAGGCACAGAAGGGTGAGCACCCTCATCCTCCTCTTCCTTCTCCTCCCGCCACTCAGAGAGAACAGTCCAGATGGAGACCTCTCTAGTCCTTCAGTTTGCTCCAGCCCAGGGGTGTCACTGACCTTCGGTTTCCTGAGGACATTCTCACACGCTTAGCTATGCTGGGGAAGTACACACTGTTCCACTGCCAGGCTCAGCCCGGGTGGCCGGCTTCCCAACTGCCGCTGCCATCTCCAGTCGCTCCGGGTAGCCACCACCCCCAGCTTTGACCCACACCCATGCCTGTTTGGCCACCCTGTGGCCTGACTTGCTGGGAGCCCAGTGACGCTATCTTAGGGAACGGGGCACTTGTGCGTATGTTTCAGAGGAGGAGTCCTGGAGCTGGAAGAGACAGGTGGAGTCCCCTTCACCCCCGTGGCTGCATGGTAAAAGCAGCTCTCCTTGTGTGCCCTCCCCCACCGCATGGAGGGGCCTGGGGCACCGCCTCACTTCCCCTCTCCAGCTCCTGACCCCAGCGCTGAGGAGGCAGCAGGGAGACTGCTGACACGGCCCATTTTGTTTCCAGCTGCCTGGAAACCTCCTACCAACCAAGAGCGTAGAGAAAGGATGACTCAAGGCCAAGGTTGGCCCTGGTCTCTCGAAGTTTGTACTGGCCACCGAGGCAGAAGGCTGAGTCTAGACCCTTACTCACATCCTGAATGCTGACCACTGGAAAATCGACAACAGGCTCTGAGCTCCAGAAAGGTCAGCTTTAGAAATGTCAGCCTATTACCCCACTATGACTCAC